TAAAGCCACTTGCCATCAAGACTAATTGCCCCAACCATGGGGGGGGGGGTTCAACAGGTTCCTAAGGAGGGGTGAAATGAATGGGGTGGGACAAGAGACATGAAGAATGAAGACCAAGACAGTCTGTCTGATCAAGGTCTTGTTTATTTGAAAATTTTCACACTACTTTATAGGGAGAAGACAGGGAAGGGGAAGGATAGTTTATTGCTACAGGAGATAGCAAAGTGTTTTATGATGCAAGATACTGCACCTGCAAGCTACCGTAAGAAGGTTTCCTTAAGATATCTCAAGGATGCTCCAAGCCTAATGAGCAGATGTTCTCACGTAAATCTCTCACCCATGACCTTATATCCTACCTAGTGCAGCTGTTGGTAATGTTCCACTAATTTGCTTTGGCTCCACTAATTGGCTTTGGTTCCCGGCAACTAATAGCCTAAGTTTTATTCCTAGAATCAACATGGCAGAGAAAGGACAGACTTATGAGCTATGCTCTGACCTCCACTCATGTGCATATATACACATAGCCAAAAAAGTAACCAAAATATTGTAATTTTGAAAGGTGTTATGGAGCTGCAGAGATGGCTCAGGAGTTAACAGCATGCACTATTTTGGCAGAGGATGTAAGTTTGGGTCCCAATATCCATATTGTGAGGCTCACAACCATCTGTAACTCCAGATCCAGGAGATCCAATGTCTCTAGCTTCCTTGGGCACCTGCACTCCCAAGACCACATACTGTTACACAAACACACACATATACATATGATTAAAATGAAAAGAAAGCTTTCAAATTAAAAGGAAGTAAGCTACAAAAATACAACAAAAATTTTTGTCTCTAATATTAAAATGCAGAATCTGTATCAAGTTTAATAAAATGTGGTTTAAAAATTGTGTTCACACTACTTTATATATACAAATAGCTGTTTGAACATAAGACCTAGAAAACTCTGCAAGAACTAAACAAACACCAGGAGAAAAAAAAGACCAGGGGGTAGGAGCACTGTGCCTTTGAGATCTATGTGATTCTCAATTCTAGCAGCATGGCTTTTTGTTTTAAGGAAGTCATTTATTTCTCTGTCACCAGCCAGGATGGGGTGAGAGCCACCTCTCCACCGATAATTTATGAAAATGCAAAGAGATGCACATAGAAAGTACTAGAACAATAGTCAGCTCTCAAAAAAAAGAACTTAGCATGCAGTGTTCTTACTACTGCTCCATGCTGATTATCTCTCATTTGGTTTTTCTTTTCTTTATTTATACTTCTCTCACACAACTCATCCCAACTGCAGCCTCCCCTACCTCCACTCTCTCCCATATCCTCTCTTTTTCCATTTTCCTTCAGAAAAGAGCAGGCCTCCCAGTGATATCAACTGAATTTGGCATAACAAGATGCAATTAGACTACAAATATACCCTCATATCAAGACTGGATGAGACAACCCAGTAGGAGGCAAAAGTGTTAGTTAAAATATTGAGAAAAGTGGATATAGGGATTAGAATTAACCTACGTGTTGTTGTTGTTGGTGTGTGTGTGTGTGTGTGTGTGTGTGTGTGTGTGTGTGTGTGTTTATGAGTATGAATGCTCGTTGGTGCAGGTTCGTGTATGCCTATATGCAGGTTCCTGTGGACATGTGTGCATATGCAGCAGAGGCCAGAGGAAAATCCTAGATGTCATTCCTCAAAATCTGTCTTCCTTCTTTTTGGAGGCATGATCTCTCACTGGTCTAGAACTTGCCAATCTGTGTAGCCTTGGCTGGCCTGGACTCACTTTATAGACCAGACCAGCAAATCCCAGTGATCCACCTGTTTCTGCCTCCCAGTGATGTGGTTTCAAGCATGAACCACAAAACCTGGCTTGTTTTTAACACACAGTTTAATTATTATTGCAACACTATGCATTTATGCATTAAGTCCAGAAAAGGAAACAATTTATGTGTCTATGGACAGTTGAATAAATTTTTAATTTTTTTTTATTTTTGACATCATAATATAATTGATTACATTATTTCTCTTCACCTTTCATCCTTCTATTCTGACATACCACCCCTCCCCCAATGTCTCTTTTAAATTCAGTCTCTTTTTTCTTTAATTGTTGCTGTGTGTGTGTGTGTGTAAAACGAGCCTGTTTTTTATGTGGAATTTAAAGTTGAAATCAGCACTTGCACCTGTCATCTCTTTGCTAAGTAATCCATCTCCAAGTTAGCCTAGAATTAGTCTAAACTTTATTTCATTTGAGGGAGGGAGAGAGATTCTTTTCATCAATGTAAAAGTTAATCCAAATGTCTCCTAATCACGTAGGGGTCCTAGGCTAAAATCTGGAGGCTGAAAGTTTTTACATCTTCAGTATTTAATTTGGACCAAGAGAGAAAGCTCAGGGGGAACCATGAAGATTGTTTTTACATTGATGACACTAATGTGCAAAGCAGGAGGAGCACACTGTAGAGAGATTGGAATACATCCTTGAAGAAGAGAATGCTCTAGAAGGTCAGTAGATGGAAAATCTGAGAGAGGAGGAAGTAGATTCCTGGTGGAGGAGGAAGTAAGGGAGTGTTTCCCATACCTGAAGACCATCCCTACTGCACTGCCAACATCTTGACTAAAATAAGCTCAGCTCACTCCACAGTCAATTGGTTCTCTCTGCTCATGGGTCACTTCCTCAATCATTTGGCATCACTAGCCTTCATCGTGATCTCCCAGGACCACCATAGTTTGCATCTTATGAAATTGCTTGTGTTCTCTTTCATTCACTTCTTCATTGTTTGCTTCTCAACAAAAGCTACCATACCTAATCACCAAATAACACCTAAAGGACCTCAGTAAATGTCACTGAGTTAATTTTCTGCATGATTCTCTCCACTGAGGAAAATTCTTTAGCTCTAATCTCTGAGTTTCTGAGGTGGAAGGTGCTTGGGTCCCCTGTATTGAGAATGATGATAAGGGGACAGTGGAATTTACCCAGTGCTGAAGCAAGGCCATCTTAGGTTAATTTTCTGATAATTTCACTCCCAGGCTGTGTGACTTGAAAGAAATTTTTGCCTCTTTGAACCTTGTGTATTCCTAATGCAATGGGACAACAGAAAATAACTAGGCTTTTAATACGGTCCTGACATTCAGGAGGGAATTATGAACTGTGGACTTTTTACTATTTTGTCTTATACCCTTTGTTTGCATCAATAATATTTTGTGTGAACTGTAATATTCTCAAATGGTACAGTGAGGCAATAATATATGTCTATTATAATCACAAACATTGGTGGTATTCCATGATTTTCAAACTTTTTAATAAATATTGTGTGAATTGTTATAGGATTCTCTCTCACTCTCTCTGTCTCTGAGATTCTGAGAGATACTGTACCCAAAGATGTTAGGTGCTTGCCAAGGATCTTTCTCACAATGAAAGAGAAAGAAATGCAACAGAAATAGCATCAAAATTGATCTTGGGAACTTAGGAGATGGCTTAATCAGTAAAATTATTATCTTGCAAGCATTAGGACCTGAGTTCACTTCCCAAGAAACTGGGCATTGGCCATGCATGTTTGTGATCTCTGTTCTAAGGAGGTGAATCAGGCAGGTCCTGAAGCTCTTTGACCAGTCACACCAGCCTACTTGGCACACTCCAGGATGCTAAGAGACTCTGTCACAAGAGCACTTGGTGGTGTGTGTGAGAGAGAGAAAGCTCAGTAATTAATTAAGAGCACTCGCTCCCCTTCCAGAGGACCTGGGTTTGATTTCCAATACCTACATAGTGGCTCACAGCATCGGTAACTTGAGATCTGAGGCTCCTAACTCCCTCTTCTGGCTCCATAGGTACCAGATATGCCACATGACTCACATTTCTATATGCAGGTAAAACATTTATACACATAAAATACATACTTTAAATGCAACGGATAGGACCTTTGGAACAATATGTGAGGTTGACCTCTGACCTCCACACACACATGTGCACCTACATATATACACACAGGCACAAGAAATAGTAATCATTGTGCTGATGGCCCATAATATAATAATAAGCAATAGAAAATGAAATCACACTAAGAAGAAAAACAATTTTTGGAAGATTAAAACTAACAATCTTGTTTCACTCTAACTCTAGATTTGTGGTTAGGAATTTATTTCTGTGTGGATAATAAAAAAAGAAATTTAAAAACCATCTAGCAGACTACATCTATTGCAAAGTATACCAAAAAGCGATTGTAGTTCTTATTGGGCACAGAGCTTATCATTCAAAGCTTCACTTATTACAACACGTAAATGTTACTCTTTTTATGTTTTCTTTGGTGACATCATTCCTACAAGGTAAAAAGATACAAGTTCTCTTCTACCCTGTGAGTCTCAGAGAGTGAGCTGAGTTCATCAAGCTCGATGGAAAGTACATTACCCAATGATTGTGTTCAGACACCCCTTTTAATAAAGACACTTTATTTAGTGTGTGTGAGTGTGTGTGCCTGCACGCTCATGCATGCACATATGCACATATTCAAAAATTTAGAGGACCTGTGTAGAGATTGGAATGAAAAACATCTCTCATACACTCAGGTATTTGAACATTGCAAACTCAGCTGGTTATACTGCTCAAGAACTTAGGAGGAGTGGCCTTTGTGGAGAAAGTATGTCGCTAGCGTGGGCTTTGAGAGTTCATAGCCACAGTCTACGTCCAGGGTGCTGTCTGTTTCAAGCTTGCCACTAAGGATGTGTGCTCTCGGCTTCTGGCTCCTGCAGCCGTGCCTGCCCACCTCAATCAACTCTTGTTGCCATGGAGCCATGAGCTAAAATAAGCTCACTCTTCCCTGTTTTGCCTTAACCATGAGGTTTTATCATAGCAACAAGAAAAGTAACTAATGCAAACAGGGACCTTGCTTAGAGTTTCTTTCAAATCTCAGCTAACGCTCTACTTTTCTGGACAGTTGCCTGCACCACTAATTTCTCCAACAAATGTTGAAGACATTCATAAGTTTAAGCCATTGTGCTTGTTCCTGAACATGCTCTTTTATCTCCACAGATGGAGACATCACTTGAGTTGACCAACATGACCAGAGTCCAGCAATTTGTGCTGTTAGGCTTTCCCACCAGGCTGGTCATAACAGATGCCCTGTTCACGGTCTTCCTGACTCTACCTGCTGACACTCCTGGAGAACACACTCATCATCTATCTCATCTGCAGTCACAGTGAGTTCCACAAGCCCATGTACTTCTTCCTGGGCAACCTCAGCTGCCTGGAGATGTGTTATGTGTCAGTCACCATGCCCACCCTACTCTTGGGGCTGTGGACAGGACCCTACCATATTTCTTTTGTAACTTGCATGACTCAACTCTTCTTCTTTGTCTCTCTCATCTGCACAGAGTGCACCCTCTTGGCCTCCATGGCTTATGACCGCTATGTGGCCATCTGCCGCCCACTGCACTACCCACTGCTCATGAGGCCACAGGTCTGCCTGGGCTTAGCCTTGTCTTCATGGCTTGGTGGGCTGGTGGTCTCAGCGGTAAAGACAAAATGCATTGCAAGCCTCACCTACTGTGGCCCCAATGTCCTCAACCAATTTTTCTGTGATGTCTCCCCACTTCTCAACTTGTCCTGTACACACGTGGCCCTCACAGAGCTGGTAGACTTCATCTCAGCCATTGTCATCTTCTGTGGAACACTCCTGGTGTCCTTGGCCTCCTATTCAGCCATTGGGATGGCTGTACTCCGCATGCCATCAGCTGCTGCCCGCTGCAAGGCCTTCTCCACCTGCGCCTCTCACCTGGTAGTGGTGGGCATCTTCTACTCAGCAGCCCTCTTCATCTACTGCCGCCCCAGCCGCATCAAGTCCATGGACCTCAACAAGGTGCTGTCTGTCATCTACACGGTGGTCACACCTCTCTGTAATCCTATCATCTACTGTCTGAGGAACAGGGAAGTCCACACTGTGCTGAGGAAGACTCTCCACTGGCCTTGATCACCATCTTCCATACATGAACCTCTCACACCCTGGTTCAAATCTTTCCTGACCCAGCGACCACAAATAAACTTTAAATGCTAACTAAAAATTTTAGAATATTAGAAATTTTTTTAAGGTTTTCTCTTTTTTAATTTTATTTTTCTTATTAGTTACATTTTGTTAATTCTGTATCCCAGCTGTATGCTGCTCCCTCATTCCCTTCTCAATCCCACCCTCCCTCCCTCATCTCCTCCTTGCCCCTTTCCAAGTCCACTGATAGGGGAGGACCTCCTCCCCTTTCATATGACTCCGTTTTGTCAGGTATTTTCAGGACTGGCTGCAAAGTCCTCCTCTGTGGCCTAACAGTACTGCACCTCCCTTGTGGGGTGGGGAGGTCAAAGAGCCAGTCATTGAGTTCCTGTTAGAAATAGTCCTTGTTCCCCTTACTGTGGGAAACCAATTGGTTACTGAGCTATCATGGGTCACATCCGAGCAGAGGTTCTAGGTTTTATCTATTCATGGTCTTTGGTTGAGTGTCCATCTCAAAAAAGTAGAAATTTTTTAAATATTTTCTAGAGAAAATATTTTCCTAGGGGTTCAAATATGAAAAACCATTAAGAAAAAATATCATTAAGAGAAAAATGATCAAAATTTTGAATAATTTGTGAAAGTTCAAGAATAATATCTATTTGCTAACCCACATGTGTATATGTTTAATTTCACTCACACATTCACATTTGGTAGTCCTGTAATTTTTATTGCTAATTAACTGATTTATATATATACATATATATGCATGTATCAAGTGAGCCTGTAGGAGTCTTCAAAAATAGATACTATGTAAAAAAAAAATTACGTTTAATGAGTCATTTTCTGCAACAACAAAGAAAAAAATCAATTTACATCTCTATCAATAGTATTTATACAGTGAGAGTTTAATTATAAGGTTAAAATATGAGCTAGTAAAAAGGAAACAATTTGTGTTTTAAATATTTATTTTTATTATTTTAATTATGTATACACTTGTATGGCTATGTGTGGGGTATGTGCATGTGAGTGCAGCCACCCACAGGATTCAGAGCCATCAGATGTCCCTGCAGCAGAGTTACCTGCAGTTATGAGCCACTCTATATGGACGCTGGGACTTGAGCTTGAGTCCTCTGCAAGAGCAGTGAATGCTTTTAAACACTGAGCCATTTCTCCAGCCCATATGTTTCATGTTTTAGCATGAAAATATGACTAACTCATAGGTATTTAAAATCCAAGTAAGATGTGGTATGAAATTCTTTCATGTGTATATGATGTTTGTGTGTGTGCATGCACATGCCTTAACATGTGTGTGGAGGTCATAGGCCAACTTCAGGTGTCAGTCCTCAACTTCCATCTTCTCTGAAGCTTTCCTTTCCCCATTTCTTCTAATCCACAGGGACCAGGGAATCCTCTCAGGTCTAGAGAACGTGTTTAAACTCTTGTCCCTGCCTTCTCTCACAGAATAGTCAACTCAGGACTAGGATAATCCAGAACAGAAACACTGAGATGTGCATGTGTGTGTGTGTTTGGTTTAAGACCAAGGACAGTTTTATCCAAGATGTACTGAAAAGCTCCAGTCCTTGGCATCCCCTCCTTATGGCCAGCTGATTCCATCTGACCACCACCAGAGCCTACTCCACGTTCAGCATCAGCAAGAAAGGATTTGTAGTTATCTACCTTCAACCAGTAGGTGAGAAGACCCAGAGAAATTCTTTGAGGAAATGAAACAAGTAACAACAGAGCTGAGGATCTATCTCAGGTGGTCAAGTGTTGCCTAACATGCCAGAAGCCATGGGTCTGAACCCAGGCAATATAAAATAGGGAGTGATGGTACAGACTTGTAATCTCAGTACTTGGAAAATAGAGATAGGGAGATCATAAGCTGAGGTTATCCTTCACTAGATAACAAGTTCAAAGCCAACCTGGGATAGATGAGGTAAGATCTAAAAGCTAATACAAGGAACAGCAGAAAGAATGTGCTGTTTCTTCAGTAACATCATGCTGGCCTCAAACTTGTGATCCTCCCACCTCGGTAAGCCTTGGAATGCTGGAGTTACATGTATGTAATAACAGGTATGTATGCTTGGCTTTAGGAAAAAGCTTGCATAGAACACACAATTGTTTATTAGGTACCATCTTCAAACACTTGGAAGAGATTGACTTAATGCTCTTGATAACTGCATATAAAAATATAAGCATATATGGGTAGAGATAGTGAGATTGACAGCAGGGAAGCATGAGTGGTTTCTGAAGCACCACATACTTACAATGGAGAGATAACATGTCAGGATGTCTTCAGCCTCTTGATTCCAGCAGAGGTTCAGTTATCATCCCAAAACTGAGAAGCTGGGTGCACAAGCAAGGCTATTATGGAATCTATTCATTTCAAAGAAAAGAAATGGCCCTAGATTACAGAGAAGACAAAATGGCTTGAAGTGGATAAAATGATTCCTAGAGCCACACAGCTTCAAGGTTCTCAAACATTTTGGTGCCAACAGCTGAGCTTGCCTAATGACAGTGCATCCATTGCTCTGTGTCTGGCTCTCTCTGCTCAAAGCCTTCCTTCATGAGCATTTGTGGAATGGTGTAGAACAATGACTATTGAAAACTTTCTTCTAGCCAGTCGTCTTGTTGAAGAAAAACTTAGGATTTCATTTAAGACAAGAGATTTTCAACTTGTCCCTGTTTAATTACGAGCTCAAGCCTTACAGTAAGGTCTTGAATTTAACATATTGTTTTTTCCCTCTTTTGTGGGGCAGAGAAGTGATATTCACCACAGTAGAAGATGATTGTCTCTCTTTTTTAAAAGTACACAGTTGACAGTTGAAGAGAGTTAGTAGCCTGATCAGGGCACAGATTTGGGGAATCATCATGACATGTTCCTCTGGGGAGCAGTCAGAACATTTTGAACCTAATATAGATGCTGCCGAGTTGGAATTGGGTGTCTTCTGGTTCTCCTGATGTGCTGAGACACTTTGGGTGGCTGGTAGATATTTGCATGATTTTTATGGAATTCTTTGCTGCATTTCAATCCGTTGGTCAGGAAGGGTCACCCAGAAAAGCATTCACGAAAGAGATGAGCAGTGAGTGGGGTCGATAGGATGGGGGAGAAAATGAAACTCAAAGGCAGAAGCAGGGAAGATGAGACAACAATGTGCGGGGAGATTACAGGAAAGGGAGAACTTGGCAATGAAGTCACTGCCAGACTCTTCAGAGTTTTAGCATCAGTCCTGAGGCTGGATGAAGAGCCCTTTTCAACAGCTAACAGAACCCCAGCTGCAGAGAGTCAGAACCTAACTTTTGAGAGCACTCGTGTAAGCCTGCAGAAAGATCTACCACCCAGAAAAAAACCCTTGCTAATGACATGCTCCTGTGCGGACAGAATCAGCCCCACACTGCTCTTCAGACACTGAAGAGGCCTGTTCAAGACAAAGCATAGGCACACCCCTCTGGTGATAGGACCAGTGTGAACTTTTCTGATAGTCTTCAAGAACTGGAGAAATCGCCTGGCATGTGCAAGCCTTGGGTTCAGTCCCCAGCCCTACACACCCACAAACACACACACACACACACACACACACACACACACACACACAACTTTTACCGTGAAGGCTCTGGGAAAGAGTATTATTATGAAAATGAGTTCTTACCAGTTTGTCCAAGTCAATATTTAAATCTATAAAGTGGAAATTTGACCAAACCTAATTTCTGACATGTATTATGGAATGACTGAAAACTATAGAATTTTAAATATTTATTGACTTCTATTAAAAGTTAACATATAAAGTACTGGGTTTGGAATTTCATTTCTATATGTGCATATAATATACTTTAATAATAGCTCCCTCTCTACAAACATCTTTTACTTCTCTCACGCCTTCTTTTCCTGTGCTATATTCACAATATCCCCACTTTATTTTAATTTCTAATATAAAAATAAAAATGTTATTAAAAACTCAAGTTATACATACTTTCTATTGTACTGAGAGGCAGATGAGCACATAACTTGGTTAAAAAGCTGAAGGTCTTCTGAGCTCCTTATTCTCCTCTCTCAAATGTTGATATTACACGCATGTGCATCAAAAGCTTTAGATACATACTTTTAAAAATGCTATTTTTAATTAATTAAAATTAATGTACCTTAACAATCATACAGAAATGCAATCTGTGTGTAAACATGCATGCAGTATAATTGTGTGTGTGCATGTGTGTGTGTGTGTCAACACATGTATCAATACATGTATATAGGACAATTTTGGGTGTCTTCCTCCATTTATACAAACACATATAATTAAAAATAAAACAATTAAACATTAATAACAGTTGAATAATATTAAGAGAATCATTTTGTTACCTAAAAATTAATCAGAATTGTCTGGATGATAGGTGGCTCATGCCTTTAATCCCAGCACTCTGGAGGCAGAGGCAGAGGATTCTCTACCAGAAGAGTTTGGGGCTCCTCTGGTCTACAGAGGGGATTCCAGGTTAGCCATTGCTACAAACAAACAAAACTAATCATACTAACCTGTGATGAATATTTAAAAAAATAAAAAAATTTTTAAAAAGGATAGGTCATTTTAAAAACATATCCCAGCTTTGCCCAGAAGTATATCCCTGTCATCCTAGACCTGTGAGTCAGTGGCAGGCTAATCTCACTGAGATTGAGGCCAGCTTGTTCCACAGAGTGAATTCTTTTGTTTGTCTGTTTCTTTGTTTTGGAGGCAGTATTTACTTGTGTGTTTTAATTTTTTTTATTCATTTTTCATCCTGGTCATGGGCCTCTCCCTCCTCTTCTCCCGCTTCCACCCTCCTTCCCTTTTCCCCTATCCCCCTCCTCTACTCCTCAGAGAGGGGGAAACCCCTACCCCAGCATATCAAGTCGCACTAGGAATGAGTGCACCCTCTTCCCCTGTAGTTTGGCGAGGTAGCCCCAACAGGGGAAAGTGATTGAAAAGAAGGCAACAGAGTCCATTTCAGAGTCGGCCCCC